AACTGCCAACATACTAATGTTTTTAATTGCAAAGAAAATGACACTAAAACGAAGAAAAAAGAACTCTCTGTACCACTAATTAAGATGATATGCCAAAAAAAGAGAACTTTAATGAAATGCAGGGCCAGCCTCCCAGTGTACCTGATAACCATTTCTTCTGCAAAATGAGTATGTAACAAAAATGAGGGGGAGGTATTTTTTTTTTTTTTTAATGTTTTGGAGGGTTTTGTTTTTTGTTTTTTTTTTTGTTTTTTTTTTTAATATTGTATTAAAGCAAAAGAGAACCCGCTTAATCTAAAAAACAAAAAAATTCCAAACAGCACAGCCACCTACCATTTTACTATACAAAACAATTCCTATATTTCAGAACTCTTTTTTTCTATTTTTCTCATGTGGGCAGTCTAACAAACTGAAATACTATGCGTTTACAGTCTCCTAATATTAAAATGTCTGAAGAGAAAATGTGATAGTACGGGGTATTTTGCTGTAAGAAGCACAGGCTTTCCTGCTTTGTTAAATAGAAGATTTAAAAAATGTATTTATTTTGTTTTATTTAGTAGTCTTTTTTAACTTTGGCGTGAATTTCCATTCAGTAATATAAATATGCCAAATCTAAAGGAAATCACAGTCAATAATCAAATATATTTTTAGAAAATACTTGTATACAGTCTTCTTTGCAAAGTTATTGTATTTTTCATAACTATTACAAATGCAGTTTTAGTAAATTTTGTTGAAAATGTACCTTTTTCTTAAAAGAAAAAGCAATTAGAAAAATCATGCACAAATGTGCCTCAAAAAAGTTGAGGTTTTTCAGTATCAGACTTACAGTAATTGACTCATATTTTTATTCATTACCAATACAAGGTATATATAATGTCAGTTACCTGGCATGGTTGTTTCAGCTGGCACTTGCTTAACTGAGGAGTACTGTTTTGCTAACCTTTGCAAATTAGGTCATATGTGATTGTCTAAATGTATCTTGCTTATATTATAATGAATTTTCTATTTTTAATATATTTTTTTATGTGTGACAAATATAGTCAAGGTTATTGCCAGATGTCTGTGAAAAGAGGGCAAAAATTATTTCATGTAAATATTTGTGTCTCACAATACCAATATCTTCCCAGTTCCCAGATCAAGATTCCTGTATAAGCTCACCCTTGCATGATTGACTTCTAATGACTTCCGTATATAAAAAAGATGGTTCTCAAATCTAAAACCATGAAGCAACACTATTGCTACTAAGAAATAGATGCACTTAGGCCACACTCGAACTATAACATTCCTCATCTCGCCCACACTTTTAACTTCACTGCGAAGATAAATGGAGCACAATCCATACACATGGAAAAGAATAATTTTTGGTTTTTTATAGAAAAATCATTTTACTTCTCAGTTACCTTTAATAAACTTTGTAGAATCTTGAACTCAGTTGTAACTCCCTTAAAGCAGTGTCATTTAAGACACCTGGGAAAAAGACACCTAGTAAAAGGAAACATTCATCAACTAAAAAAAAGAAACCAAAAAATCCCACCCAGAAGCAGAATTCATAACTATGCATGTCTATACACACACTGTCTAAACTGGAGCATGAACGCCATGTGAAAATACTGTGAAATTAATGTGTCCCAAAGTGGGAAGCAAATCCCAGGAAAATGCTGAAGGTAAAATCTTGTCAGAATTCTCCTTGACTTAAACAGATCAGCATTTTACATTCATGATGTGCTCAGATTGTACTTTGAAACATTTTTCAGATGTTATGCTAAAGATATGCTTAGGTTGCCATGTTTCAGTTAGGGAGGATTTCAATCATAGTCCCTGACCTTTTTCCTCTTCAAACCAAAATGACGTCTTTTACATTACACTGACTATGTTTTTCCTGTTAATTTGTGTCAGACTGAAAAATTCCTTCTCACTTCATGTCTTCTATTCCAAGATAATAAAATACAAAGCGTGATAGCACTTCAATAAGGAAGTGAAGAAGTTACAAAAAGCCAAAACTGGTGGAAGACAGTGGTCAATCTCTGTGTTATGTTGAGGTTATGTTGCTGCATGCTGTGGCAGGCATTTTTTCCTGGCTCATAAGCAGCAAATCGGTCTTAACGTTTCTAGCTGCAGTGAGATTTTAGACAACTATGGCACAATTTGATGAAAACAGGTCAATTTTTTGTGTGCCATACAAACGAGCTAATTGATGTCAGATTTGCATCTCCCAAATGTGGCTTTCTAAGAACTGATCTTACTTCCAGTGCATAAGAACAGGATGGAAAGGGAGGAGTAACAAGGGACTTCCAGCTCAGTGATGTAATTTCAAGATGTAGTCTTGTGTGTGTTTTTTGCTACATACAGAAAAAAGCTTGATAGAAAAGATTATATGAATATACTTGAAATAAAGAAAAATAGATTTTCACTAAAGCGTATATTTCCTACCGATTTAAGAAACTGTTGTCAACTCTTGTAGAAGAACAAATATCTAGTCGTTCTAACACCTCATTGAGCTGTAGGTGTAGTTATAGTCCTGCTCTCCAGCTGCTGTGCTTTCAGAAGTGCCCTAACCAGAATTTTCCAGGCTAATCTATTAGCTGCCTTTCGCAAGCATACATTTCATTTGCATAATTAAATCAATCAGAGGAGTAACATTTCAAAATAAACAATGCATTTTCCCTCTCATATCAGTATAAATCAGGCTTAATGCAGCCAAGATCAATAAGTTGTAGTTGCAAAAGGATTGATGTCCATGAAAACATGGTCAGGCTCTTATTTTGTCTACTGGATGATAAATTTTATACTACTCACTAACTGAATCAAATCCAGAGATGAGGGATCATCTCTGGATTTGATTCAGTTAGTGAGTAGTATAAAATCGATCTTAGCTTGTATAATTTATATTCAGATTTAACTAAAGAATGGTAAGGTGATTCATATATAGTTCTTTTAATCATGATTATTAAAATACCTCGGGTATATTTGGGTCAAATTTTAAAAATGGAAGAGATTGCATGCATTTCTTCAAAGGAGAAATTCTGAAATTCACTTATCTAAGTAATCAGTATCATGATACTTACGTTAGAAATTCTAACTTCTTTCTCCACTGGAAAAAGAACCCCGGCTTTGATAGTTTACCCTGTATCTCCAAGAGTAATAATTTAAAAGCATGTTTCTAAATTCCAGCCATGAGCATTTGCTGTTTCATGTAATTCATGCCCTAATATTTATTCAGAGGTACTTTTCAGTACAGAGTTATTAAGAAAAATGTATATGATATTCAACCATTTTACCTCATTTAGATTTATTCAACGAACATTCTGTTAATCTTTTTATTTATTGGATGTTGACTATTCCTCTTATTCTGGAAGTACATTAGGGTGATCTTGCTAAAATCAACTAATAAAAAACTCAAACTCTGTGACAATGAGCTGTATATTATAATTAAGGAAATCTGCATTTGTGAGTCAAATTTGGCTTGAAAAAAAAATGCTTTCTTTTTAATTGGAAAGGAAGGAATAAAGTATCTTTCTTGGTAGCTTTTGTCCATTTAACAAACATCCATAAACTCTAAACTGATAATTTTACTGGAAAATCTGAGTCTATAGTATATACTTCCTCACACAAAAGAGATTCCACCCTTTTTTCAACTAATTTATCTGGCCAATTTGATAGTGCATGCTACTTTAATAATTGCAAGGCATTAAGTAATGCTTTGGGGAATCAAAAACCACTGTAAATTATTTAACAGGGGATATTACTAGGACATCAATTAAAGTTAATCCAGCAAGCTGAAGGGCAATTTAAAAATGGTCTAATTGACACTCACCCTGCAGTGTCACAGTTTTTCAGTTTTGACTAACTATCCATTTATTACTTAACAAAATGCAGAAGAGGCTTAGTAATTCAAAATGTAATTAGTTTTCACAGAGAACAAAGGAGGAGGAAAAATGGGAGAAGGTTTAGCATACACATGATAATGTATTGTCCTCTCTGTGTACAGATGCACAGCTTAGCATGGCTTGATGCCAGAAAATTTACAGCCCTTACAATAATGTGTTAATAAATATTTATGTTTTTATACATTAAACCATATTCCAAGGTAAATACAATTTATTCTGTTTAAGAGAGAGATGTATTCCTTCTGCTGAAAATAAAAAGTTTTAAAAGCTGTGACTAAAAATTAAAGAACAGTTGTTCTCAAGCAGCTTGTCGTGGAACTGTTTGAACTCTTAATTTTTCGTCCATTTTCTACTAGATTGTTAATAATGCTGCACCAGCTACTACAGTTCTTTGAGGTATGGCTTATTCTGGGATTTCCTTTGATGTTCTCATTAAAATTTGATAATAATGAAGCTTTTTGAAGCTTCAAAGTTATATTAAAAAACAACTTTTTTTCTTTATTCCAAATAATCTCTGGAATGCAATAATTTATAATATCTGGAATATTACATGTAAACAGCGTGTACATTTTCAGTTCTTTAAGGCTGAGAAGTCAGGGAAACGATTCCTGAGTAAAACTTTATGAATTTGAAGATTTAGTCTTTGAACTTGTGAGAATGATTTTTCTTGAGAAGTTTCTAGTCTTCATATGTTTGACCTTTTTTTATGGCCCAGGTATGCACATTAGAGGACAGTTAAGGTTTTTCCCTTTTCACTGCAATATTCCAAAGGACTGTGAATCAGTAATTTCTTTATCAATACTTTAACAACTTCAGGCTGCTTTTCTGACCAGGTGGTGACAAAAAGCTGGTTATGCATTTGCAGCTTGAATTTTATTTCTGGAAAAGTACTTCAGCTCCTTACTCTAAATTAAGAAGAGTTTGTTTTTGATAATTTAATGAGGAATGGTATAATCAGCTGAATCAGCAAAATAACAAATGCAGAATCATAAAATAATTTATGTTGGAAAAGACCTGCAAAACTATCAATTCCAAGAGAAAACCCAGAACTGCCAAGTCCACCCATGTAAAATGCCCCTATATGCTATATCCGTACATCTTTCAATTACATACCTGCTGGGTGGTGACTCCATCAAGATTGTTCCAGTGCTTAATAATCCTTTTGAAGAAGAAATTTTTTTTGTATTATCCAATCTACAATTTCTCTGGCACAGTCTGAGGCCATTTTCTCTCATTGTCCCACATCTTTCCTGGGAGAAGACACAAACCCTCACCTCATTACAACCTCCTTGTAGGCAGCTGTAGAAAGCTATAAGGTCTTCCTTAAGCCTCCTTTCCTCCAGGCTAAAACATTCCAGCTCCCTCAGCCATTTCTCATAATACCTGTGTTCCAGACTCTTTCCTAGTTTTGCTGTCCTTCCCTGGACAGGCTTCAGCACCGCAATACACTTGCAGCATGGGGCCCAAAAGGCAACACAGGATTTGAGGTATGGCCTCACCATTGCTGAGTACAGGTGGAAAATTTATTCCCTAGCCCAGCTGATCACGCTGTTTTTGATACAAGTCAGGATGTCCTTTCTTGATCCTCTGGGCAAAGCTGGCTACAAGAGTTGGCTCAAGTTCAGCTGCTGTCAAACAGCACCCCCAGGCTCCCTTCTTCTGTACAGCTTTCCAACCACTCTGCCCAGCCTGTGGCACTGCCTGGTGTTGCTGTAACCCAAGAAGAGGACCTGGCATTTGGTCTTGTTGAACCTCACACAATTGGCCTCAGCCCACTGATCCAGTCTGTCCAGCAGATGAACACTCCTGTCCAATTTGTGTTATCTGAAAACTGACCAAAGATGTATTCAATCTGATCATGCAAGTAATTGGTAAAGATAATAACCACATATGTTTGGTTTTCTTCCACAACATCTGCAAAAAAAAAAAAAAAAAATCTCTTAAAATACCTACTTGTATGGATTGATTTTGATATTCTTATGGAGTCAAGTTTCAGGAGCATTATTCTTCCATTGTTTTTTTTCCTTTAAATTACTGCTTTTAATGTTTATTCTTCCTTTACTGTCTTACAAGCATAGTCATAGATAAGCATAGTCACAGATTGAAATGGATGCCTTAAAATGAAATTGTTATACTTATTTCAAAATTATATTTTCAGGTGATAAAGTGTACACAATTTAGTATAAATATTAGACAAACCTTTTACTCTGTGTGCATTTGCTCCATTCACAGGCTGACTCCTCTGAAAATTCCTTGATCAGAATCTGTTCAGAGGTTTCTTTGTACAGCTGAAATACAATTCTTCAGTCCACAAACAGCAGTTTGCCATTTGCCAAGGTGCAGAGTTTTGTTTTTGCACTTTGAATGTGAAAGGTCCAATGACATAGAGAGAAGAAAATGAGAAATGTTCTGGCCAGGAGGAGCAGATTTCAGGAGTACTGTTTTTCTTTTTAAATGCGAGAGCTAGACAAAGATGTTTATAAAACCTGAGGCAGCAGCAAAAGTGACCTGAAAAATGGAGTAGACAAAATGAGTTATGGGATGCCAACAGTGCTGGATGTATGTTGTTTTTGAGTGGCTACCTGACACAAGTTATTTATGAATGAAATATTGACAGGTAAAGTTCATGGAGAAATAGATCTCAGAAATAAAATCGCACCAAGGAGAGATGACAGAAGTCAGAAAAGGTTTCTACCACAAAAGGAAGATGACTTATTTGTCCAATCTCTGCTCTTAAAATTTACTGAGAGTCTAGAGGGCAAACTCTTAAGAAAGGGTGATGTGCTGAAGAATGTAGCCACATTCATAAGTCAGGAAAAGAGGCAAAACAAAAGGGAAAACTTAAAAAAGAAGGAGAGACTTCCCTAAAGAGTAGGGAAAATTATCAATCAGAAAGCAGATTGCTACAGAGGAAGAATAAATTAGTTAGGCCCATGAGAAGATGATGACAGTAATAGGGTGTGAAAGAAGAGGAGAAGATAACCAGGAGGTTTCCAAGAAGTAAATTCAGATTCTTCTCAGACCTAAGAATATTGGAGGGACTTGCATCAACCCTGCGAAATCCCCCTGTAATCAATGATTTTTCTTTTAAGAACAGTCATTAAGGTTTTACTTGGAACTCTGAGAAAATAGTGTTGGCCACAAAGTGTTGGTCACCCTGATAAGCTGCAGAAAATATAGAATTCAGGCTGGAAATATAGATGTTAAATGGGCTATAAGTCATGTTCATGTGGGCTATAAGTCTTGTTCAAGAGTAATGAAAGAGCAATCATGAGCACAGCATAAGGTATTTCACAGAGAGACTGAAATATTAGTTCAATAAGCAAGATAACAGAGCATACTGATTAAATAAATTACTCAAAGGAAACAAACAAATAAACACCCCCCAAAGAAGCCATAATTTAACGATCCAAGGTTGATACAGGTCAAATTAGATTGAGGAAGAAGTTAAAAATGTTACAGCAAAGTTATATAAAGATTCTATTTAAAGGCTTCATTGTCAGATCAGGGTATGAACAGAGACCCTTTGGTATTTTCAGATTTTTCTAGGAAGAAAAAATGAGACAAAACTGACTAATGTAAAAATCATATAACTGAATTCAGTGCTCTTTAATGTAAAATTTAGAGATTTTTTTTTTTCTGTCACTTAATAAAAAAGAATTGCTTTTTTAGACTTTGTTTTAGTAGGCTTATTGTAGAAAAATTTTAAAACCCCTTGAGTTTTAGAAAACTATAGGAAAGTCATGATCTTTTTAAATCTGGAGACAGACAAAAGTGGACCTATCATATAAGGCATCTTCAGTTTAAAAACTCTACATTTTCTATTTGATTTTGATGTCCTGGAATCAAAGATCATATATAAAGGGGATAAAAAGGTATCAGAATTATATCTTCTCAATGATATATCTTTCTTTTAAAAAATGGAACATTGCAACCATGCATACTTCAGATCTGAAATCTCTTCTTTACCCGAAAGGATGATGTTTGCCATGAAAAATTAAATAGAGACAGCCATTCAAAGCTGAATTAATGAACTACCCTCTGGGAAAAATAATAAAAAACCAAGACATATGCAATAGTTCTAAAAAAATATTTATCTCAACTGCTTCTTGACACACATCATGAACCCTTAAGAAATGTAGAGATATTGAATTATTATATTCTATCAACAACATTAAGTTAAATTATGAACGAGGATGAAACTCTTATAAATTGACATTTTAGTTTGTAGCCATATTAAGATTTTGGATTCAGCATTTAGGAAAACAGAAAAAATGGAAAGGAAATCCTGAATCAGGCATTTCTATTTCCTTCAAGAACTGGGACTGTGTATCATAAGGTTAATCAGATAAAAATCTCATAGATAGTGGAAATGAATAAGTGAGATTTTTAAAAGAGACAGAGAGAAAGAAAAGCAAGAAAAGCAAGAAAAGAAAAGAAAAAAAAAAAAAAAAAAAAAAAGAAAAGAAAAGAAAGAAAGAAAGAAAGAAAGAAAGAAAGAAAGAAAGAAAGAAAGAAAGAAAGAAAGAAAGAAAAGTAAGAAAGAAAGAAAGAAATGAAGAAAGAAAGAAAAAGAAAAAGAAAAAGAAAAAGAAAAAGAAAAAGAAAAAGAAAAAGAAAAAGAAAAAGAAAAAGAAAAAGAAAAAGAAAAAGAAAAAGAAAAAGAAAAAGAAAAAGAAAAAGAAAAAGAAAAAGAAAAAGAAAAGGAAAAGGAAAAGGAAAAGGAAAAAGAAAAAGAAAAAGAAAAAGAAAAAGAAAAAGAAAAAGAAAAAGAAAAAGAAAAAGAAAGACAACAGAAAAATTAAAGTAAGAGGGGAAGAAAGGTACTCAGTAGAGGAAGGCAGCTTTAAGATGGGTACAACTGTATTTCATTTTACTAACCACTGACTTTATGCTCCATTTATCATATTTTGACAAGTTCCTGAAAACCTGTTCAGAGGGAAACTGCTTCATAAATCTGTTATCCACTGCCTGTGATGTTTAACGTGTTACACTGGAAATTAAGAAAAATAATAAATCAGCAACTCAAGCCCTACTTTACAATAAAATGGTGATTTCTGAGCTTTCAGTGAGAAAGTGACTGTATTTACCTTAAGGAAAGAATCCAGGCTGGTGAATGCTGGCTTCCCTTGCAGTAGTTTTCAGTCAGGAGTGTTCAGCACAGGACTGCTAGGCAGCAAAATATTTGCTGTTATCACTGCTTGCATACAACTCTGAGGCATCTATATCTCAATATAAAGCTTCTGTTGGTGTTTAAATTCCATGCAGGAGGTCACTGTCTAGCAGTTCATGCAGAGCCCACTCACAAGGATTGAATGTTGGAGATTGGATTTTTTTTTTCTCTTGTTGACCAGAGCATCAGGTTTGTGTGACAAGGTTTTAGTAGAGGAGGCTACAGACGTGGCTGATGCGAGAAGCTTTCCTTATGCCCAACAGAGCTAATGCCAGCTGACTCCAACATGGACCATGGATGCACCACTGACCAAGGTCGCCAGTGGCAACAGCTCTGGTATAACTTAGTTAAGAAAGGAGGAAAAAATGTGCTACTGTAAGACCAGCAGAGAAGTGAGAATGTCTGAGAGAAACAGCTCTACAAACACCAAGGGCAGTAAAGAAGGCAGAGAAGAGGTGCTCCAGGCATGGCAGCAGAGTTCCCTTTGCAGCCCGAGGTGCAGACCAAGGTGAGGGATCTGTGCCCCTGCAGCCCATGGAGGAGCCCAGGCCAGAGCAGATGAATGCTCCCAAAAGAAGCTGTGACATTATGGGAAGCCCACACTGCACCAGGGTCATGTTTGGTTTTAAGGTTTTGCTATTTGTGTTGTGGAATATGGGGAGAGGAGGGCAAAAACTTTGCTCTCCTCTTAAGCATTTTGATGGCATCAGATTGTGGAAGAGAACTAAGGATTATCTTCACTGTGAATGGCTTTTGTGCCCTTTCATTTGATTGGCTCATACAGAAATCACCAAGAGGCTGCAGTGAATCACTCTGACTCATTACCTTGAAGTAATAGGTTAGGGTTTTTACAATTTTGTCTGGCTGCAAATGTGATTTAAAAATTTTTATATTGTCTTCAAAACATGAATTCACAGAAGGATAAAACCAGAATAAAAATCACTTTTCTTGATTCAGCTAATAATTTCTTCAACAAAATTAAGAGGGGGGGGGCTTCAGCCTTGTTTTGTTTGGATTTTTTTTTTTAATTTGAAAGAAAGGTTTTTCTACAGGAAAGTACTACCATCAAAACAAACAACTAAAGCATGAAACTGACACTTCTCTGTTCTATTTTTACTGCTCTTACAAGATTTGTTATGTAGTATTTGGCATAAGAAAGCCAGCGTGCTTTAATTTTCCATCTGTGAAAAGGAAATGATGTGCTATAACATTGTTTGCTATAAAAGGGTATTTTGCTGTCAAAATTTTTTTTTGTACCAGTTAACTTATGCATTATGGAAACTGCAGTGTATCTGAAGTAAACTTATACTCAAAATATATTTAAACTATAGTATACTTAATGAAGGATACTTTTTCCTAAATCAAATTCAGAATAAATTTAATCCTTGAGGTTTGAGAACTAATAATAGTATTTCTAAATTTGTAATAAATAGCACTGCTTAATGTGCAACTTTTAGACATCTAAATTGTTTTGAAAGATGTTTGACTGGAGTCCTATAGAAGTGAATATAAGGGACTAATGTGTGTGTCTCAAACACTGATGTCTGGATGGCTGTGGAGACAATCAAGAACTGTTTCCAATAACTGACTAACACAATAGTTTCCAGGCCAAGCACATAATTTACTAATCAAATTTTGTGTTTTTTTGCAGCTCCTCTGACTTTCTTTCAATCACGTGCATTTATAAACCTTGGGTGTCCCTTTTCCCTTAAGAATAGGATGTTGCACACAGGTTAAATATACTGTGCATTACATATGAAAGCATTGCATTTATTGCTATCTAATTTCCAGCTTCTTTTTCTCATGCTGAGGCTATCAAAGTGAAAGAGCAC